TAGCATTTTTTATTTACGACATTGTAAACGTTGCTTCGAAGTACAACTTGGCACGCAGAGTACATGAAAAAGAGGCTCGAGTTTCGTGGATTTGTAAATCGTGTATCAGAAGGCCGACATCGCGAAGCAAATGATATCGTTTATACCGATCGTTGCGCTGTCCATAGATCGTGATCACGGACAAGCCGGCCGCCATCTTCGTCTCGACGCCATTTTGTTGCGTCTTGCCGCGATCATCCCCTTCGTGAATAACATAAAACTTAAATTGCATTCACGATTACGTAAATCTCTTATCGATTCGTCGGAGATTGCCTTCTTTCGACGACTGTTATATACACTGTATGCAAAATACCGCGGAATAAACTTTTCTTTCCCCTTGTTCCATTCTTAAATAGGTATGCGACTTTCGTCGTTTACGAAGATCTCCGATGATCTCGCGGGAGAAGATATTCACGGCACATATACCTACTCGCGCCAAACAGCAAGGCTCCTAGATGTACATTGCGATAGTAATAACCGTTTAAAAGCATATTGCGATATGACTTGTTACCCTGTCTTTAATGTCTACAGACCGTGTCGTCTTTTGAAAGATTCCCGTCCTCTGAACGCGGAACCAATCGTGTGGGTTTGAAATCAATTGTCCAGCGTGTTTGTCGAATCGTCGAATCGCGTGAAAATTGTCGATCGAGGGATAGGATAAAGTGTCCTGAACGGTGATTATTAATCATAGGTCGGACTGTGTCCTTCCGGATCACTCGTTTCTCGTGTGGACCAAGAACCAGGCTTCCGTGAAAGAATATCATACACGACCGGTACCCTGACCTCTATCAATCGTTATTAGTATTAAATGACTGTTGGATCGCTTACGAACTACGGAAACGATGGTTGGAAATTGTAATAAACGGCGAAACGAAATCAACGTCATCATCGCTCGCTGGAAACGGATCCAAGCGAATTGGAAATGTCGGTTGTGGTCGAAGAGATACGCGGGCGTAGGACTTTCAGGCAGGACTCGTGAGAAACATCGGAAGATGGGGGATGAAACGGATGAAACTTTATTCAGTGCTGTACGACGTATCTCAATTTTGGTTCTTTCGTCGTTAGTCTCGTTAACGGTATGTGTTATATTTTTACAGATGTAACTTTACGCTGGGATGCTGTATACGGCCCTACTTATCTTAACTTTCCGTCGTAATTTTGAAATCAATTTTTTATTCAGACGAATGGAATAATTAGGATAAACGAGTACACCATCCAACCTATCCGACGAACTGAGCTGAACATACTGCACGAGCACGTATCCATTCCGTAGTGTTCCACTCGAATCCCGGAACACTAACAAATTCATCGTCATCGCGTGTTTCTCTATTAGATTATTCGCTCGAAACGTCAGAAAGATCAACGAAACGTCATCGCTTATATCGCAAAGGCTGGACTTTTTGCTGCAACTCTTTCCACGTGGTTATCAGCTCCGAACGACGTCGATACACTGCGAGGCATCGCGGTAATTGTGCCCCAGGAAACACTGTAATTTTCCGAAGGAAGCAGACAGATCGATAGACACGGACGAAACTGGCTACGACGGACCCATGCTCGTGTCCGCCTGATCCGAAGCGAGTGCTCGTCGGAATTGGAACGTTCCCCGAGCGGTTAAACCGGTCCCTGTTCTCTCTTTTTCTCTCTCTCTCATTTCAAAGCTGTTTGCGCGAATGTGCAACGTCTCTTTCGACGACAGGTGAACCGTCACCGAAGGAAACAGGGTTTCAGGGGTCGTACGAATACGCGTGAAAACAATTTTCGACGGGGTTGAAACGGGGAACGATGACGTTTGAACGGTGTGTCCGAGATGCGCGTCGATGTTTGGCCGAATCTAGCCAGACAGAGTTAGAAGAGACAGTGATAGAGGACTCAAATAAGGAGCAGTAATGAATATAATAATAACAATCATAATAATAACAATAATAATGACGATCATGATCATAATGACAGTAATAATAATAAGTGTCGTTAAACTCTATATTGCACTAGAATCTTTTTTTTTTTTCTCTCCATTACCTAGTAGAATGGCAATAGACTATTATTCCTCTAGAAAATACCTATCCTCTTACGTATGTACAATTTAAAAATTACTACTCATCCTCTCGCTTACACTTTTAACTATTACAATGACGTGTCGCTCTTGTCGCCGAATATCCTCGCGGTATTGCTCGATGCACGCGGATATACGAGCCTAATCACGCCGGCTACGATTTTCGTACCCTCCTCGATCGTTCCTCGGTGTCTCTTAATCCGATTTCCGATCGATCCGCCCCGTGATCGGCTCTGGCATGCACGCTTGTACGAGGATTTCGTCCTCCGCGTTTCCCTCTCTATTTCTACGTTTTATTTTTCTCTTCCCTTCTTTTCAGCGAGTTCCGTTGCCGCAACGTACGGCTGCGAAATCGGCCAGGAAACAAAAATATAATCGCACCCGCGGTCGTGAAATGCAGCGAGCAGCTATCAAGAGTCGAGAGATATCAATTTCTCAGTGTTCGATGAGCGGTCAGCCGTGCTCCCAATGTAGCGACCGGATCGTAATTTGCCGTGGAAAATATTTGTCTAAACGGTATGGTGTTTTTCGACGATTCGTGTGTAGGTGTAGGGTATAGGTGAAGAGAGTTTTCGCGTTTGTCTGCTCGTCGTTTTCTTTCGTTTTGGTAAAGGGAAACGGGAAAATGCCTCAGGGTGCAGAGGTTGCGCGGCTGATCGCGAAGAATACAAATAAAGTTCGTTAATTCGTCGACTAATGCTACAGTATTGCTTCAATATGATATGATACAGTCTTTTCACTGATTGTCCAATATCACTACGTAATACATCCTCTTAATCCCATTTTTTCCCTTTCTCTCCTCGTCTTCGTTTCTCGCCTCCTTTCGCTCTTTCATCCTCGTCTCGTGCATTTTGCTAATCGATACACTGCACTGGAACGAATCACCGTTTCGAAGGAGAATCTGTGTACTGTGCTGTTTTATACAAGCCTGATGAAATACGCGAATTCCTTAACCGCCTTTGTACTCTAAATAATCTGTATTTTTTAGTAAATTTGGTGAAAATAGATCACATTTGTCGTAATGAATATTTGAAATATAAGATATCTCGTCACGTTTATAGCGTATAATGATAATCGTGACATTTGAAAACAGTAGGTGGAATAATTAAGCTTTGTAAATTTTTCGAAATTTTTTTAGAAATATATCTAGTATTTAAATAATGTCTTCTCTTATTGCAAGATGAATATTTGAATGAATTCTTCCGCATAATTAATTATGCTTTCTTTTTCGTTCACACGCGAACGCCTCAGGAACTTTCAAGTAGTACGAACGTAATATTAGGCAGACAGCGATTCGTAGGATCGAGAAATTCGTTCCAGGATCGAGTATATCGATGATTCACCCTTGCTCTTATCACATGCATACCACTTACTCTCTCTTTCTCTAGCTTTTTCACTTTTTACACTGCACTGAGTGTCTTCATTAGGAGTAATATCACTTATTTCTTCGGCGCGACGTACTCGCGCGTCGATTTTATAACAATACGTACTTTTATATTTTATGTTTCGAATTGTACTTTCCAAGACGCATCGACGATTATTTAGCTATTTCGTTGTAATTGGCTATACTTGGTTCGCGAAAAATCCTCTTCCTCTTCTTTCGTTCCATTACGACAAAATATAAAATTCAGGTATCTCTCGCTCTATCAGTACAGTTAATTAGAAACGGTTACGTGTAAACGTGAGAAATAAATTTTATCAGTTCGATATTTTTAAAAATACGTATTCAAATTATATGTCATAATCGTTAAAATTTCTGCAAGCAGTTTACGAATTTTAATCATTGATTTACCGATCTGCGCATTTGCGGTGTATTATTTTCGCCAATGGAGAACTTCGATAGGAGATACGAGAATTTTGACCAGTAAATTGGAGAAACATTGATATAGCTTATAGCGTTACGAACAATCGGGATACGTGGACCCAGAGATATGATAAATTCGAGAATTCTGGAACTCGTGATCGTGAAATCGGTATCAACGACGATTTCCAGTCTGCACGGGCTGGTCTAAGGGCGGGATACGCTCGTAAACTCTTTTATCGCGATCGTAGCTGATATGCCTCGCAAATTCTATCTCACTTTACAGATGATTTGATCTAGGGTTTCCGTAAGGGTACTTTTATGTCATTTTATACGATATTCTTATGCAATATGTACCGTATCTCTCAGTACGTAACGTCAACGTTTCTCCTTATTGCTTTTATTAACTCGTTGAATGTTGCATCCAACCTGCCAAAATAAAATCTAAACACGCGTGACCTCTTTTCAGACGTTTCAATTTTTACTTCGCAAATTAGAACGCTGGTTTTTCAAATTCCAATACCATATCCGCCTCCTCAACTATCCAATAATTAATTTTCATTAATTTCCAACGACCAATGAATTTTCATCTGCAGATTAAGATCGGCAAGCAACGAACCAGTTGTTTCGAACACCACCTGGTAAACCACGGTCCGCCCTGCCGAACCTCTGAACGCAACTCAAATTAAGCGAAAAATAAAGCAGAAGAAGAGGATCGCGAATCGATGAGCCAAGAATCGTCAGTTCCTGTAGCAACCTCGCCTGGAGACGCGTCGAGAACATCACACGCGCGCGCAATGGCCGCAGAGTACTCATATTAAGCCTGTGACAGTCTGACTTCCGCTTAGTTGGCCACAGTATCGAGCTAGCACGTTTGCGAACCACTTGAAACCGAGAAGTTCGCGCATCACCTTAGCACACACACACCAGTTCGAGTATCTTCGAATCCCACTGGCGGTATTTCTCTTCTTGCAGCGATGGCGTCCTTCGTCCGTTCATGTCGTTCGCTACTCTTTACGGCCATCCCTGAAATTCGGTCAAGGGTTCTGGTTTAGGCTCGAGACTGGGCAACTGATATGGTCAGTTTTGCTGTCACAAGCCACCCTCGGGTCAATGTTGAGCCGCGAATTTCATGCGCTTCTGCTTCTGTCGTTGATTGCAGAACCAGACTCTGACGACGTTCTTTTTCAGGTCCAGCTTTTCCGCGATGGCGGCGATCTTCTCGCCGGATGGCCGTGGTTGGACGGCGAAGTACGCTTCCAGGGATCGTTTCTCTGGCGCGGCTATGCTCGTTCTCTTTCTCTTCTTCTCTCCAGCCGGTAACACCGACGGTGCGTCTGGGTCTCGTCTTTTGTTCTTCGCTTGAGCCTCAGCTTCCTCCAGCCACGCTTGCAGAATCGGCTTCAACGCGATCATGTTGTTATGCGATAACGTCAACGACTCGAATCGACATATCGTCGACTGAGACAGAGCACCTACGCCAGGTAACTTCAGGTTTGCCAGAGCTTTCCCAACGTCGGCTTGCGTTACGCCGAGTTTGATGCGTCTCTGTTTAAACCTCTCTGCGAAGGCTTCCAACTCTCGAGGATCCGTGTCAGCATCCGGATGGAGACCAGCGGCCGCGGCAGCAGCTGCAGCCGCCGCCATTGCTGGATGATGATGAGCCGGATGTGGCACGCTACCGCCTCCGCCCCCGAGGTTTCCGTGATGATGGTGATGACCCATCATTCCGTTCATGCCGCCATAAACGGAGGGCCCATGGATGCCGGCATGGTGGCCCGGTCCACCACCGGTGTTCTCTGACATCGGAGTTAACGTGGTCATCGAGTTGGCCGGATCCAGCATGTCCAGACTCTCCATGCCTGGGTGGCTCATCTGGAAGGCATAGTTTACAGATCTTTAATTCGTACAGAGTCTGGGATGAGGTTCATTAGTATTTCGCATAGTTTTGCGATTTTAATTCCATATTTTATTCTACGTGGTATATTAACCACTGAAATATCGCGAGTTATTGACGTGTTTCACTGAAACTGTATCTTAAATAATAAATGACGAAAATTTCAATGTTTGGACTAGAACGTGTTTTACTAGTTTCAATACCATATAATTCGTAATTTATATTATTTTATATTTTATAGTATATCGTATTCATAGGTATATTGTAATATATTTTACCAAGCAAATAAAAAATTAAAGTAACGATGTGGTTAATTTCTAATTGAAATAATTGAAACGCGTATTGGTTGTCTCTCTTCAATCTATAGTAAAGTATTGTCCTTCATGTAGTAAATTTGTCAAATTATAGGAACAGAATGATTTTGGTGCCGCGTAAAATATGATTGTCATTTAATTACAGACAATGTTAGAAACAATTACCTTGCGATAGAAATTGAAATGAATATACAATCTGTTTTTAAACGTTGTAATTATACATTTTTTAATCAAAATAGAACATCTTTCTGAAACGACAAAAAACGTCTTTCAAGCATGCGTTAAAGAATGAGGAAACCTACGTGGTTTGCCATAATCGCGTAAAATCGATAATTGCAACTATGCAACTGAATTCACGGGCACGCAAAATTAATCGCGGTCTGCTCATAAATATTACACTTTGAAGAGCGGGGAAAGCAGTCATAGCTGTTTAAAAATCGAGATCTTTGAGCGGGAATTGCACGGTAACACGATAACATACGGTTACCCGATCGTACCAATTAACATTGTTAAAAGGGAAAAATGAATGAAACCATCGGGGGCCATTGTGGAGGGGAAGGGACGAGGACGTGGAGATGAAGAGAGAACGTGTACAAACTAGCACGCACAATTATGCAGCACGTGCCGTGGTCGTCGTCGCGAGCACAGTGTGCGCGACCCCTTACAAATTATTTATGAGCTCCCTTCATATTTTTCCTCGTAGAAAGTGGCGCAACGTCAGGTGCTGCTTGTGTACTTTGTTTTCTTCGAGGTATCGCAATGTCCACCGTGTAATTTTCACGTTAAACGAACCTATGCGAATGTTGATAAATTTTGGTTTCTATCCAGGCCAAAGTTTTCAAGATCCAGCTATTTCTTTGCGATACAACGTAGCCACACAGAGAGAATAAATTTCGCACGCTTCTCCTTCGCGAAGATTTGGAATTTTTAGAAGGGATCGTATCGTATATTTAGGAAACTAAAAAATAGAGTGGATTTGAAAATTTCTTTATTCGATTATGGTATAATTATTAGACAGACAGGGGGTGCACTATAATTTTCTTTCGGTGCAGAAATGATAACAAGGTTCTAGTAATAGATTTATTAGCATTATCGCGTAGTTAGGAAATTGAAAAGTATATTGCGTTTTTAATTTCATTACAATTATTAAATGGAAGGGACGCGTTATATTTTTATTTTAGTGTAAAAGTGATATTAAAATTCCCCTAGGAGATTTACGAGCAAAGGATGTATCGTGTAAATCATTATATTTACTATATTACACATACTATACTGTCTACGCTATATTATATATATTACAATATCCCTCCAATATCCTACTAATAAACAGACTTACAATTTCCGAACGTATATTATCTAAAAATTTACGTCTTCGCAATGAAACATTTTCCAGAGCCCCCTCAAGCGCAATGTCACCGAACACTGTATCTACATTGAACAAAAGAAATCCAACGACCACGAAGATATCCTCCGAAAACCTTCGACACGAGCTTCACGACGAAAATCCCAAACCACCCCCTTGACGCAGCGATGCATTAACCCTTACCCATAACTCGAACCGCATTCGCGATCCTAGATCCAGCGAAACGTAGAAAACGCGCGGAAAAGGGATCGTAAAACGGCAGGTGGCGTATATAAATCGGCGAAAAATGCCGCGGGTGTGCTTACGATTGGTGGTCGTGCGAACATGCGCCTACGGGCCGTTTGCGTAACGTCGTACACAGGGCGTGACGCGTATGCGTAGGAACACGCGTTCGTGTGTACGCAACATTTATCCTCACGAGAATATGCAGCGTAGCGAGCTAACTGGATGGCACGGTTTCGGTCCAGGGGTGCTCCGGAATAGCATAGTTACATCAGAAATGCAGGGGGTTGCGGGTGGCGGCGCGAAAGAGCAAGGAGGAACGGGGTTGGAGGAGGATGGTGGCAAATATGGAGTGAGCGAGGGACTAGCCCAGGGGCGTACACGGTAGGGCCCCAGAGACCCCGCAATATTTCATCATTACGCTGACACGACGGTAGGGTTAGTCGATTCTCTCTCTCTCTCTCATTGTTTTTCTCGTCTCTCCCTCTATCTCTCTAGCTGCTTCTCCCGTCTCTGTCTCTATCTATCTGTCTCTTTCGATTTCTCCATACACGTTGGAAGAGGAAGACACGGGTATACCCTGCTTCACCCTTGCTCAGTGGCATGGCCTATCGCTCGTCACGATTCCTGGCCATTCCTTCTCCCCCTTTGGCGCCGTTCGCTCCCCAAAGCTTGTGCCAATGACACAAAACTCGTTACATGCATTCGTGAACGTAATACGTTGCGCGTTAGGCAGAGCCTTAGGTAGCAGGAGCACCGGGGTTATTGAATTCGTCAACCTCGCGTATAAAAACAGACTTTATGGGACACTTGCTGTTTGACCATCTGTATGGGAGATCCGCGGCTGGGAGAATGGGAAGAGAGAGAGAGGAAGAGAGAAGGAGAGCTGTAAGTGGGAGAAGGGTGTTCATGCCACCGCACTGCGGGAAGCCAGAACTCCGATCTATACACCTACTTCATGGTCAACGAATACTACGGCGACTAATAGTCAGCCGATTTTCTGCGGGATCCGTGCGATTACCGTGTCTCGTATTCGATGCCTTGCACGATCGATTGTTGATCTCTTTGGGCAATGGAAGTTGACATTTTTGGATTTATGCAATTATGAGAGAAAAAAACGTTATTTTTTGGTCAAAATTTAAGTGACTCGTGGAGTCCAGTTTTTGGAAAATTGACATCGGTTTGGAAAACGAATGTTGGTTTCCCCGAATGACGGAATAGAATTTTTGATACATTTTTTCCCTTGAATATCAATAATTTATTGAACTTAGTTTTGAAAAATCGAATTACTCTTTCAATTGAATGTTAATGTCAATTCGGTTAACAAAGGTTGTTTTCTTTGGTTTATAGAATTATTATGAGAATTGGGGAGTGGTATTTATAGTACGTATTTGTTGGTTAAATTTTAATGGTTCGTTGAATTCAGAAAATCGACGTATCGGCACAATTGAATATTGGTGTTGATAATCGCATGCATAATGTGTGATATGGAATCGAAGATCGTAATCCCAGGTTTTAATAGGTAATTGCTTAAGTATATACGAGATACTTTTAACGCATGTATAGTGCTTTAGCATGTTAATAAAAAAGTCGGCTCGGTGATAGAACATGGAGAATGTTATAAAAATCTTCCATTTTCAGCATTGATCAGTGACGTTTTTATTGAAATATTTAACGGAGGTATTGGGTAGATTACCAATATAACAATGTTGCGATCGAATATATTTTTCAGCTATAAAATGCATTTGTAGAACGATGAATAAATGAAAGCCCGTAAAAAGCATGTTTTAACTGTATATTTAATCAATTTTTAAGCGAGCATAACTATACATGGACTTTGTCATTTCATAATGCCTTTAAAACATTATTATAAATTATAAGACTGCGATATTTTTCAATTATTGCCTTTACGTTATAACATATTCTTCATTCGATAAATAATCTGTTTCGTAAACTGCAAAAATTATTTTTACGTTATATCACATAATCTGATTCCTGCATCATTTTTATTCCTCGAATTTAAGTTACGTCTATTTTTCTTGCTAATTAAAAAACAGCGCGAAACAGTTGCTCGTGATTGATTAAATACGTTTCTTATGTAGTGCAATTTCAGTAACGCAGGCAATATGGGACTGGCAACATGAAAAGGAAATTCTGTCAGAATTGATTGCGTTACGCCCAGTGTGTTACGAATCGTCTCGATGGCGATATAATATACGAGCAACGCCCCTATGTTCCAGAAGATCATTCCGGGTCGCTGAACATTGCTTGCTGCACCCCACTGTCATGCTATCATCCACTCATCAGCCTCAGATTGCTTGTATTAGCATAAAAACACCGAAACGACGAGCAGCAAATTGCAATCGAATTAACACGAGCTTTCCTATCCGATCATAGCTTTCCTATTTGCTTTCCCCCTTCCTCGAGCAATTAAATTTTAACAATTAGCGTGCGTTCAGATGGATTTATTTCTTTTCATCTGTCTTATCTCGAATTACACTTTCTGTTACATGAATGCAATTGACATTGACTTTTTATTCTATTTATTGTTAAAAATAGGAAAGATTTCGTCTTTTAATTATATATTAAACTCTCTTTTTCGTCATTAACGTAACTGATAAAATTGAATTTCTTTATAATAATAATATTATAATAAAATTAAATTTCTACCTTGTTCTAATCTTCCTGTTCTATCGTTGTTATATCCATTTGTTTATCAAAAATTTGATTCTAAATCTTTTTAACGATTTTAATCGTTTATCCGTATATACTACTCACAAACATTGAAATTATACGTTTAAATATGCCCAATTACTAGAGCAATGGAAATATGAAAGGTATTAATGATTAAATGGTAAAAATGAAAACAGTTGGACGAATTGTGAATGATGTTAATAAAGTATCGTCAGGGTTGAATTTTTTAATCGACAGTTTAATTATAGACCATAATTGATTGTTACACGTAATTAATTATTGTCGGTGGATTTAAGCCGTCGTTGAAACTCGTTGAATTTTATAATCGTGCTCGAACGATGAATTTTCCATATCGACGTCATTGTTTCTGTACACATCGTTACGATAATTGTTTCATCGATAAACTTTGTCATTGGTAGTCATTGGTCAACGTTAAGTCTTAACAAAATTATCCTGCCTCAGAGGCCACATACAATTAACGTGTCTCGTAATTCGTTCCAACTTTACTGTAACTACATATTCTACTGCATTTGCAAATTGGCATCATTGAATCAGAAATAAATATATTTTTACGGAAGACAAAATGGAATTCTTAATATTAACTACGTGTGTAAACTTTATATAAACTTTCAAAGAGGCAACCCTATATTTATACGAAACAGAAAATTGATTACATCCTAATAATTAGTAAATTAATAACACACAAGTCCAACTGAAAAATCAAGATAATCGGTAAAACGAAATTCGATTAAATTAACAATAAGCTAATCGAAACAGCAAAATCTTAATTTAGATAATGAGAAACGAAGGAAAGAAATCTTGCTACTTGTAAATAAATTTAATAAACTAGAATTAAAGCAGTTCGTAGGAGTATAGAATGCGAAAAATGCAGACTCACAAAGAGGTGTGAATGTACCTGATGATGTGGCCGGTTATTCGGATGGGGGGTTGGCATGTGGGCTCCATGATGATAGACGGAAACAGGATCGTGCTTCAAAGGCATTGGGGTACCCGCGTTGTGTTTTCCCAAATCCGCCGCCAAAGCCTCCGCCCTCGAAAGTAAGCCGTCTTGTAGACCGCTGTTCAGGCCCCCGAATAAGTCACCCTGAAACGTTAAAAGCGACACGTGACACTGATTGAAGAATCAGGGATCATGTGTTAGGCTGACGTAAAAGAATATTCGTGGAAGCGTTTCGTCTCCTTAAACGAATTTAAATCGCATCCAGAGCATCTTATAACCACGAGGTCCTCGTGTTGACATGCAAGTTCCGCGACTTGGGCGAATCTGAGTTTCAAAAGGGGTGCAAGAAGGAGGATACCATATTAGGGTGCGTCGGAATACGTATGTAAGTATTTCATTTTGTAACTGAGAATAAATAACGAGATTGACACGCTAAAAAGTATTATTATGGCTGAATGTGAATTTCATAAAGGGTGTAAAAGAAAGAATAGCATATTAGGGATGCTTGGAATATATATGTATCAAGTACTTCGTATTACAATTTGAAAAAAATTCGAAATGGCAAAGTGGATAGGAATCGTGTTGATGTACAATGGAAGTAGCACGAATTCCGCGAATTTGAGCTTCAAAAGGGATGCAACAAAGATAACAAATGTTAGGAGTGCTTAAAATAAGTGTTTCAATATTTTGCATCAGTTTGAAAAGAATTGAGTTGTCTAAATTCAAGCGTCAGAGGGGGTGCAGCAAAGTGAATAAGGAGTACTTGAAATACATATATCAGTATTGAGCGTTGTAATTTTAAATAATATCTGAGATTGAAAAAATTAGGTTTATAAACTGGTAGTTGAAAGTTGTAAATCAATGTCACTTTCTGGCGAAAAAAAGTGTGCGTTTCATTTGTACAAAAGTATCCAGTCAGAGGTCACTCCATGTACTCAACATGGCCGTGCGGTCGATATTCTAAAAATAGTTTTGACACTGGAAACTTGGATTTAGCTTCAGCCAGATTTTTTAAATTCACCGGATAATTGCTTATTTTTATAACGTTAGTAGATGATATCGAGACAATTATTCATTTATCATTCATTCACTAATAATTACTTAATACTAATTCTTCAATATCGATTTGTACTTATTCTTTTAAATACGTTTAAAGTGATCCTTATTTCACAAAAAATAATTTCTCAAAATAAATTGTACGCCAGATTAAACATTCGATATATAACACTGAATCGATAAACATTTAACGATTCTCTGTTTTAAAATAATATTTCCATATCAATTCTAGTAAATTATGTTTAAATGTATTTTTAAGTTATTCGGTATTTCTGCTCATTGATAATACCTTATTTCAAAGTGTAATGCGATTAAACAGAAATTCATGCGTGTGTGGGTATACAGGAGGGTGTATAACGCTGGATTATGAAACAACCAGTTAAATTGATGTTATTTCAAAAGTGACTACGCGTGACATATGAGATTTGCTAATCAAATGAGTTTGCTTGTCAAGTACTACTGGGGTTGCTGGACAGGTTATTTTAGGGTCAAGATATTACTAAAATTATACGACCACAGGGTCTGTCAGACTTGTCCTAAATTTAGGAACAGTCCCGCATATATATAAAATCTTGGTTGATGACAGAAATAACTTGATAATTACAATAATACCGAAATAATTGTATTTGCTGACAACCTACAGTCAGCCAAACTTGATATCCCAAATTATCATGTATATTATCGACAATTGAAACATATTTAATTGTAAATTTTAAAAGCAGATGGTAGTCTATATTTTAAAAATTAATTACAAATATACATCATAATTTTCCATTCGTTATCGTAGTATTTGCGAAGAATTTAAATACGAATTTTACTTAAGGCAAAGAAGAATTTCGGGTGAAAACTATTTTTATATTTAAATATCAAAATTTAATCTTTTTATTTCGGTTACACTTATACTTACATTGTCTATAACTTCATTGAAGCACGTACTACAAGATAATAAATTTCATATTGAAACAAAGCGATGAATATTTAAATTCTCTCATTTCCATGCTAAAAATACGTGATAAATCATCAGTCCTTCGTTATGAAAAATCTTTTCCAGTCTTGAATAATAAAAATATTCCTTCTCTGACGACGAATAAATATCATAGACCGGGTAATTGTACGCTTTATAACTAAGAAACTTCTTTATACCACGTCAAAGGTGAAAAGAACCACAAAAGCAAGAATTTCTCTGGGAATAATGATAATCAAACAATGAAGGGTGAGAGAGGGTTAATGCATTTTCCTTTTCCAGCGACGTATTAATAGCAGTTGCGATGCGAATTTATGGTTTCGTTTTGTCCAGATACGCTTCTATGCCGTGGCAATCGATATTATATGGGACATTTTGCGTCAGCCGCATCTGTCAGTCGCGGCACATTGCAAGGTTCGGCTACCGCACAAGCAATATCGTCACGTTATTCGAGAAAAATCGAAACAACCGTAACTCGTTGCAATTTCAAACTTTTTTCCAACGAGATCCGTGCTCAAAAGGGTTGATCGTAAATACAAGGCGGAAAAATCTATTCTATGCAAAGCGTTGTAAAATATAACTTTCCTTTTTGTGGACGAGACTATTTAACTGCTTGCATAGATACTTCATATATGCTTATACTATTACAAACACGGATAAATATGATTGTTTTTAATTTTAAATTAACTCGTAACGTTTAACGAACCGCCGAATTTATTTTTATTTATAAATAATAAAAATACAATCGCAATGTGTACGGAGTAAATAATATATATGTAATTTAGAAGTCGATACTTCCATTGCAAGTTTGCGTGAGCAGAAATACATTTTCATTCAAATATAAAATTCTTTATAGAAAAATGTATTTGATTCATTTCTACTTAAAACAAAGAAAGACCTACAATTCTAAATAAAAGTGTGTGGGAAATAAGTTAGTTACAGAAATTAATTTGTATCTACGTCGCGTCGCTGATTTTAAAGAATCGACGTGGAAATTTCAAATTCGAAATTTAAATTTAAGTGTCAAATTCGAAATAAAATGTTTACATATCATGAGGAATATTCGTGATTGTGTTTGAGTACAGAGTTAGCTATTATTCGTGCCTTACTCGTCTAGGTTTTCTTCCGACAAAGCTCGAAAATAAAGTACCTCCAAATAGCATTATCGATTTTCATTCTCTGCATCACTTGGACAATGTGACCGTTGCTTTATTAAATATCAATAAAGGAGGATTCATTGTCAAAACAATTTAGTAGGAATCCTCCGCGGCGTGGGCTTTCATCAAGTTTGTATGAAACCGTTGCAATCAATTGCCATCGAATCGTTTCTCATTCGGTAATGGAAAATATTGTAAATCAGACATTGAACCTTTTCAAAATATGCTGCAATTTATGTAACGTCAAACATCACACCATGAGTCCTTTAAATCGTTCCTTCGAGATTTCATTTCTCAGAATTTTCAATGAAATTCATCAAAATTTTCCGAAGTACTTCCACTTCACTTTTGCTAATATTTAATATTATTCTTTACTGTGCAAATTTTTTTCCGACAGCCTAATCGTATAAATAAGAATCATGCGTGTCTTATACTCATGTTGTCGTATAATAGTTTAGGTAGAATTTGAACAAATTTTTTATAGTATACATATTCGAACACCCTAAATTAAAATTGCAAAAACAAATTGGACAAATATTTTGTTTAAATATATCATGTTTAAAGCTTCACTAGTATTATAGTTTATCAAATAAAAAACCAAATAACTCGAAATTGACAGGACGCGAAAGACCCTGGTTTACATATTCAAGGTTTATTAAACGTTGCATATAATTTTTAAAAGAACGTTTCGTCGAACAATATTTTGCATTAATATCTAAAAATAAGCAGCCTGGTACGAACAAATAATTTTAGCAAAATTGATCGTTGCATTAATTAAAAATTAAGAAGCACGATATTTGTCGTGCGATGATATATCGATAATTTTCTTTATTTCTAATACTTTAATAAGGTACTTTTAATACTATAATAAGTTACTTTTTTTAATACATTGCACGTAACTCCCGGAAAAGCTGATTATTGACTAATATTTTACACCAATTGTCAAAAGTAAGCAAACAGCCGTGGACAAACTTTGTTACCAAAACAGTCCGTTATATTAATTAAAAATTCAACAGCACGAATTATCGTAACAGTTATTGAAATGTCAATAGTTATGTTCCGCGTAGCGAGGTTAAGAACTATTCTCTATCTACTTATTTCATTATAAACTGTGATGTCCGCATCGGTTGATCAATGTTTCATGCGAAAACCACCATCGTGCTTCAACGCTTCGATTATTTATGAACTCCTTGTGTCTTTGCCGAGTACGTGTACCTACTATCTGTCTGTAGGTTGCTGAACTACCGCCACTTTTTCTAATTTCGAACTTCTTCCCTGTGTTTTTCTTCTTTCGTATCGTGAAATCGCCATTTACCTGATTTTAATCCTGGGAATAATACATTTTTCTTTACGGGTAGCTGATAATGGCTAAAATTGTTTGTATAATAGGCACTTTTGTTGAAATTCTGATTTTGTCCCATTGATTTTGTCCTTCGTCGTATTTCTTGCTTTGAAATGCAACATGTGATTCGTTAAAGATATGGAAAGGGAAGAAAGGAAATATAAATTTTTTATTTCAAACGAATTGAAGTTTCTTGTGTTTATTTTTTAAATTGTCAACGTGTAATTTAACAGTGTCGTAATAATACCAGTAGCGTATTAATATAATATATTACGGATGCTAATGGCTAAATTGGCGTAATAAAAATAATTGATTGTTTCGGTGAAATGCAACTATACTTCTGATAAAAACTGCATGTTTTCGATAATTACGAAAAACAAGAGATCCGAAATCAGTTAGTTTGTTTAGTTGTGATATTAATGACAGATATTCGCAGTACAACAGATACTTGGAGAATATCGTAAAAGATCTTAATAAGTGTCTGATCTTTTATCTCGTGATAAATTATTCCCGAAAGAATGAAGTACTTAACCCATTCGTTGCGTGACACATGGTACTGTTCACGGAGATGAATGCTTTACCTAAACGAAGTTTTAACAGGACAATAAATCCTAAATTGCGTTTT